CGAATTGAAATACATATGTATATCAAATTAATAAACAAATTCAAATATGAATTTTATATAATTTTGTTACTCAAATGTAATTCTATATATTTTTGCAATTATCTTACACAAGTGTTATTATGATTTACATTGCAATTTAATAGTTTTGTTATACTAAATTGAGAATATAAATTAAACCAAATCAAAATATATCAAATTAATGAACAAATTCAAATGAAAATGTAATTCTATATATTTTTCCAATTATTATCTTATACGAGTGTTGTTATACTTCATTGTAAATCAATAGTTTTTCTATCCTAAATTGAGATTATAAATTAAACCAAATTGAAATACATATATCAAATTAATGAACAAATTCAAATGAAAATGTAATTCTATATATTTTCTATATGTATTTCTATATATTTTTATCTTACACAAATAGTTTTATAAATGGCACGTTCAATGTTACAAAAAAAAAAAACCAGAACAAACTATGCAATAAACAAAGAATATAAACAACTTTGGTGTATAATATATTTCTCTTGATATATTATAATCTTTTAAAGGATTAAACATTATTACAAAATATTCAATGAGAAAATGTTAACAATTCGTTAACCGAATAAGACAGACGTTTATAACATTGCTTTGATGGTAAATGTGAATTTTAACAATACCAATTAGTACTTTACGAAATACATGAGAGAGAAAGAGAGAGAGAGAGAGAGATCAGTACGAATTAATTTGTAAAGACTAGAACTGCCAGTAGTGTGCTAGAACGCGTGGCTGAACTTATAAGCGTGACTATTGCACTTCTCGCGAATTCACAGCATAGCGAAACTAAACCACTTCAACTTCCTCTCGCATTCTCACATTCTCTAGCTTTCTCTCTTTCTCTCTCTCTCTCTCTCTCTCTCTCTCTCACACACTATCTATATATATCTATCTCTATCTTTCACTTTCGATCGACGTTCTATCTTCACGAGTACACGACCATACATATATACATACATATATATATATACGTGTGTAGTAATTCCGTTATTCGGTACGGTGTGGAAAATTGCTGGCACAAGATGAAACGATTCAACTCGTAACCCCCACGAGCTCACATATAACGAAAGGCGAACAAATTTTTCTTCGTAAAATGATGATCGATCGGTATTAACGAATCACCAATTCTATTCGGTGCAATAGATTAAAATTATTAATGATATATAGAATATATATATACATATATAATGTATATTCAGAAAATTTTCTGTCAATCTCGAATATAAAGATTATTCAATGTTAAATATTATATATATATTACACAAATTTCGTTTATATTCAGATTTCTTTGATTTTTCATCGAATTTCTATATTGGCATACGTTTTAATTCTTTTGACATTATTTCGAATTCTATTACTATCATACTTTCGGAGCTATTTAGATGGCAAGAGTTAGTGAAACACCCTGTATATATGAGATTTTGAAAATATTGACACAAAGTGGCAATTTTTATGTCAATCTTTCATACGAATATTTCTAAGTAAAGTTTGATATAAATGAAGATAATTGTTTTATATTACTAGTAAATTCCTTTATCAAAGATTCACTTTTGTTTTTTGTAAAGAAAATAAAACAAATTATTAAACAAAAAATTACTAAAAAAGGATAAAATAATAATAATCTTACAAAATACGAATAGAATAATACTTTGATGCGAATTTGCACAATGTTTATTTGAAATATTCTCTCACAAGCATTTATTTTCGTCTCATTAACTTCGGCTCAACTGAACGTAATATCCTTGAAAAGGGGAGAGAGAGAGAGAGAGAGAGAGAGAGAGAGTGATAGAAAGAGGGGAAAAGAATAAAAAGGAAGAAAAAGAAAAAAGAATAGAAAGGAAGTTCGTAGCAAAAAGAGAAAATAAAGAGCTTATAGGAAGAGAAGAAAAATGTATGAAGAGAAAGAGAGAGAGAGAGAGAGAGATGGTAATCTTTATTATCAACGAGTAAAAAAGAAGAAAAAGTGAGAGAAAGACGGATATATTATAAAATCAATGAGAGGATTCTCCTATCATCTTTTAAATGAGATTCTTATTAGTGAATTTTTTTAAATTAACTACACTCAACGAAATAATTAATAATACATATATATATATATATATATAACATATATACGATTTGATTATTTCTATAATTTTTTAAATATTTTTTTACATTAAGAGTTAACAAAAAAGAAAGTTAAAATCTGCAATTAAAAATTTAAATATATATATATATTAAATATAATAAAAATATAATAAATAAATATAAAATATACAAAAAAAAATATAATAAATTAAATATAATAGTATATTTTTAAAATAATAATATATTATTTATATATATAATATAATTATTTAATCTAATTTAATATAATTATTTATATATATAATAATAATATATTATAAATATATATATTATAATATATTATAAATATATATATA